TTTACTAGTTACGTGTCGTCTGTCTACACTGCTGCTTTTTCATACTGATGAAAGGGTGCAAAGACGTTCTTACTCGCCATGTTGAAGCCTTGGTGAACGTAAAGCCGGTTGGACCAGCGGAGTGTGAACTTGGCCGTCAGTGCGGTGTCCCTGTCACACCGCCGTGAAATTGTGCTTAATTAAGACATCAATCCTGATTAATGGTCAACACTGTGGCCAGCTGCGGAGAAGCCTGGCTGGTCCGGTATGATCTATTCAAAATACCTTCAGCATAGCTGGCTGTCAGACCTGGCTATTGATTGCAACGCTACAGAATTTAGCATCAACCAGAGAAAGAGAGAGGGAGGGGGAGCATTCCTATTTTTTTTCTGCTGTAGCCATAGTATTCTTACCCTGTTGCCATAGTATTCTGTACATGTCATCATAGCATTCTATCCATATTGCCATAGTATTGTATCCATGTTGTCATAGCATTCTATCCATGTTGTCATAGTATTGTATCCATGTTGTCATAGTATGCTATCCATGTTACCATAGAGGCATGGTACTCTTTACCGAACTGTTTTCTCCGCCACAGCAGATCACTCTACCCTGCCTAAATGGAAAGTAGATTAAAAACAGCTAAGTCAAGAGTTAATCAATTTTGGTGCGGTGTTGCATTACAATACATGCTAGTCCCTGTACGCACCGAAAATTAATTTAGATACCGGCAAAAACCCGTTGGCGTTATTATCCCCGAGAAAGAATGGTCGCATGCCTGGCTTGATTTTAATCATCCCTCCTATTGTTCTTCATACTGCATGTTTTGGCGCGTGGGGACTGCGGCGAGAGTTAGGAACAAGATTTAATACGATTTCCATCTTCGTCATCCGTTCCCAAAACACCAAGGGAACGTTTGTCGAAGTCTCCACTGAACTAACACCGCGGGTTCAAAAACAAGAAAATTCAGCCAAACGTGAGGAATACTTGGCCAGTAGAGTTCATTTGGGGAAGTGAAACCCTAACGGTGGACCCAGTCCCAGACCCTATTTTTTGTCGAATTCTACCTAGCCCTCTTACTGTAGGAGGGAAGGTCTGGCATGGAGGTTAACTTTGTCATGTCAGCTGCCAATCTGGAACAATTATCGATCCATTGCAACATATTACAGTCACTTATCAATCCTGTTCTGTGACGTCAGTTTCTCTCTGGTAATCTGAGTACACTTCTTTCAGACCAACATTGTTCTTTGACCATCCTACTGCATTATGAAGACTGGATTTTTTAGATGATGCCGCCCTCATTTTAATATTTCACTCCAGCATATATGGGAGCTGTATGGAGTAGTTTTTGCACTAGCTATTGGGAGTATTAACTTCGAAGAGTCATGTTTGCATGGGGGGGGGAATATTTTCTTTAAAAATATTTTGGAGTGGGGTGATGTCAGGATATTCCATTTTCCATTAGAAGTAACTTTGGATGGTCCATTTTCGCAAAAGTTTGATAAGGAATAGGAAGGGATTCAATTTTGGCATGGGAGGGAGATGGATGGGAATTTGATTTACTTGCTTAGCCTGGTATCCAAACCTAGTTTATCTGCCGAGTCTCTTTCGTCCCCTCCGCGATTTTACGAAAGAAGCTGGGCAGCTAAGTTTACAAGTTACAAGTTTATTAAAAGTCCAAAGGAGCTCGCGGGCAAAAAATTGCCCGAATTACGTCCTCGTTACATAATTCATGAAACAATGAACACATTACAAAATTTTACATTACAAGTAACGTTACACGCAGAATATCTTTAAAAAAAACAGCATCTCAATTACAACCTAAATCGATCCATAAAAGCAAAGCGAGCACACTTAGCATAACATATATACATAGTAATTACTGTGTATCAAGTGTTGGTCTGTTGTTATACAACCGGATAGCACAGTGCAAGAAGGAATCAGGATAGGTTTGGATATCAGGGTAGTATTCGCTGGCCTCTCTAGTTTTCAATGAGTAGCCATTAAACGGTCAAAGAGGTCGTGTTGTGAATTACGCCATCCCCACCCCCTGAACTGTGCAGCAAATGCCCCGCAGTTCTTCCGAATGGCTACACATTATCGGGAAACCTATCTATAGGGCAGTAAAAGTGACCATTCTTTTTCCAATTAGGTAAGGCGGGTGGTAATGTAATATAGCTAATGTGTTTTTCACGCGTTTGTCCTCGCCTGATACTTTTTACTTTATATAGGTTACTCACCGTGCGTTTAGCGCGATTTGACAGAGCTGTTTGCCGTGTCATGTGCTATTTCATGAAAAACAACGGTAATACCTTTGCTGTCAGAGAAAGTAGTAAATTTTTGAGAATTTCTAGTATCCTCCTGAAACAATTATCTCGCACCTACCATGTATTCAAACCATAAGAAAAAGAAAAGGAAGTAAAAAATATGTTCAGCAATCTCTGTATCACCGTGTTTGTGTGAAAGATGGTTTTGATGGATTCGAATGAAAAATTTGGCAAAAAGATAATAACAATTGGAAAGATCTTCCACACCGTTACAGATGAAAAAAAAAACTTGCAACAAGGATGGAAAAGACTTTGTTGTTTGATACGTAATTGCAGAAATAAAGAAGAACAAGGCTGGATGATCAATGATTGCATGACGTATAGTTTACGTGCCCCGGTGAGTGAGCCTCTCCGATAACTGGAACTAAAGATGTTTCCCAGCGGGACTGAATTGGAAGTTTTAGCGTAGCTTATAAGTGCACATAATTGAAGGAGACGGTAATCTGTGTGTCGGTCAAAGGGTCAACGAGCTTGGAGCAGTTCATTAACTGCGGAGTCATATACGAGTATGGATGGCCGTGATGAATCATGTTATGCGTTTCATCAGAAACGTCGATCAGAATAAAATGTTTTGCAAAACGTTAACATTAACTATGAGCAGGGATGTCGTAAGAGCCCGACCGCTGCCATATTTGGTTGTAAATCTAAAAAAAATAAATGATAATAGTAATGTGCACATACAAAAATAGCAATTACTCTATGGACGACTTCTCTCTCACAGAATCTCTGTGATCCTTGTTGTACCCAGAACCTATCTTTACTTCAAACCCTTGAACTCAAACCTCCAGAACCATGCTCAGGCACGCTTCTGTATAGTCGACGCGTATTCAGAAACGTACCTGGGGCAAATATATGTTCTTGGATGTGTGGAGACTATTCAGAACCTTTTGTGATTCTAAACATAACCCATTCAGGCATAGACCTAGACCATTGACCATATTCCTCCCACCATAACAATACTAACGCTAATACAGATTTTGATTGAATTAAACACATTAGTTTTGTCCGTGGTGCTGATTCCTTGGTTATGCCTATTGTTACGTCTTGTCTATTGGACAGCCCGTAGATCTTGCCTAAAGTTTGTCATAAGAGAACACCCGTGTGATTTGTATAATAGCATCTCGATGCTGAGTTGTGCTGTATGTGTTTGGTGGCGTGGACCTGCAGAATCTGTGGCGCGTACATTTACGTATACAGCAGATCTTTCCGTGTTGGTGGTGTTTAAAGTCAGTCTGTAAAAGAATGGGCTCTCACATTAAGATACATGTGTGTCAGTGTGAAAAGCGCGAATACCACCTTAAACGTGACGTTCTTCCGACGCGCTATGCAAAATACATTACCGATTTCGCGCAGGCGCAGTATATATGCTCTGCCGCTGTCCTGTGAAGGATATGTATGGCTGACGCCGCTAGGGGGAGCTGCTCATGGAAACGTGTGCGCTCTGCGGTTTCTCTTTCGGACTAGGTTCATCGTATGCCAAATATAGCGAACGGCTGGAAATAAATGCAATGACAGAAAATATGTACATCTATGTACAGGCGTATTGGGATTTTATTGTCTACTTGGTTAACGTTGTCTCATTGAAATTTTACCGAAACACCATGACAACCGTCGTAACAAATGATGCCTACATAAATTTCATGAGCTGCGTCGTCTTCTTTGGAACTCTGCATCGATAGATGAACATAATACTTCAAAAGGCTGCCCAATACATCTGCTTGTTAACATCAACAAACAAAGCAGGCCAAGTCCAACAGGCGCTGGCTCTCTTACGTAACAACTAAACGCCTCTGTGAGTGAGCAGAAGTGACGCACTTACTCTGGCACGGATACCCGTTTTGGATGCACCACAATCCGTTTTTGCTTTTATTCGATTGAATCCTAAAATGTGTCTCTTATCGGCTCTTTAATCTATGTGTAATGTGTAATTATTGTATTAGTTACTGTAATATGATGGTCCATTTTACCACTCTACTACACAATCAATTCATCAAGTAACCGACACAAAAATGGCACAGACAGACAAATATTTTGAATATACATGTATCTTATGTTAACTCATCATCAACGATCATACAATGAAAAAGTCATCACCCAATTATGACAACGACGATACGTAAATACGAACAAAGACACCAAATAGTGTTCTTTTCTTCGCTGCCGCTTGCAATATTCCTGTGCAGACGTTTTCATTGATTATGCAAATCATCTCCTGATGTTAATAATAAGCATTTCTTTATGTCAATCATCACTAAGCTACTTACACAAAAAAAATCACGACTATCCGTTTAGCTGTTAACATTTAACAAAGCTCACTATTCTACAACCATAACATTTGTAGAGTACATCCCATGTAGTTATGATATCAACTGTAAACACTCACAGGACAGCAGAGTGTTGCTGCCACAGGATTTGCATTTCAGTGCATTTTTAAAACGGCAAAAAAGTAGAGTATTCCGAGTACACTGAACAAAATGTCAACGTGTACAATTTGCTATAGTCATCCTAGCCATATTGTCCTGCTAGCCAGCTGCAATTCCACTGGAAGTTCATAGTGCACCACTGTGGATGACAGCCATCTTTACATCTGCGTATCGTCTGAGATTTTGTGCAGTTACGTCATAATGCGGACTTGGCACCGCCATTCGTCATGGGGATCGGCAAAACTAAGACATGCATGGCTTGTGTGCCCGATTACGCATTGGCTGATTTCACCTCCGCGACATTACTGGGATCTACAGTACCTGCCCCCCCCCCCTCACGTTTCGCGTGCGAGCATGCTCTAATGATCGTTTTTAGCATAATTTGAAACTCATTTGGGAGAGGCCACGTGACCAGGAGGCGGTATCGGGGCGAGAGGCATCCGTTTCATCAGGCTTCATTTAGTGCTGAGCGCCTGGAGGAAACGCAGGTGAAAATGTGGGGTCCTTAAAACCAGTGCCTCGTCAGTCGGGAGAAAGCCAGCGACAACATTCGACATCGTCATCGCTGGTACGGCGCACAGAGATTGTCCTGCCGAGCGGAGGGCGATGTCTGGGAGAGCCAACTTGGGGATGACTTGAGACGATTAGAAAATATGCCAAATTCTGTGCGAGACTGTCTTCAACTGGCGCCATGCGCAGGGCCAGCCCAGCCTGCAAATAACAGCGACGTTTCTTCCGGCTAAGTCTAGTTAAAGCCACGCCAGCAGACCTGCAAGGTTGGTGTTAGCACGTCACCGGATGGAGGCGGTAGGAGCCGCCGTGCAGCGGCACTGATTTCCCGCTTGTTGCTGCAGCCTCAATCCAAGGACGGGAAATTTTCCGTGCGCGTGGGAAGATGGTCTCTTGGGGAAGGGTGAGCCGTTCTATTCATGTTTCTAAAAGCGACCACCTTGATGAGATGGGTTAACGTTGATGTTGGCTATTAGTCGGGGAAACGGACCCTCCGTGTGTCATGACACTGTGTAGAATTTAGCCGGCTTTCCTCAGAGAATAGACCTGAAATAGCGCACGGTGAGGAGGACGGTCCTGTACATCTGAGGAAGAATCAGTGTTAGGAGGTGAGGGCGAAGGTTGTGAAAGCTGGATGTGCATGGATTGTTTTGTCGCCGACAAACGTTCCGTATATGGGCGTGATTGACGGGATCCAGGTAGAATAACAATGAGACACGCCAATGCCCACAACGTGAACGCCGGTTTATTGCACCAACACCACAGCCCACTTCCAGAAGCCACAAGGGACACGTCAGGAGAGCGCTCACGTTTCTCACTCTGCCACCATGTCATGGGATGATTAATTCGGAGCCCTTTCTTTTCTTGCATGGTAGATCCTGGCACATACGTTCTAGTGCGATTTTTACCCACGGGAGCGGCTTGTAGGCGGCTCAGGTGAGAGTGAATCAACTTCCTTGATGGGTGCTTACGCAGCGTGCGTCCCGATAACAATCAGGCAGCTGTGATCGGGTCTTCTTACATCTCGGGGTGATCCAATATTGATAGTAATTGAGGCATGGGCTCAGCCATGGGACATCACGTTGGAAAACAGGCACGATCCTCCAATGATAAGCGCCTAGATTGCATAACACCCTGCAGAGGCCAGCCAATTAAAACGTCCACGTAGATAATTAAAAGTCCCGACCATTCACCCGGCCGCTGCGGCGCGTGGGCCGGCGTTTTTTCCTCCAATTCTCCATCCATCACGGAACCTAATCAGGCATTATTGACTTCCTTCTTTGACCTTTCACCCCTCAGGCCGAGCTCACAGTGTCCTCCCTCCCTGTATATATCAATTTAAATTGTTTATTCATAACCAGCCGTATAGAATTTGGCACCAGAAACGTATTGATGATATGGTGGCAGTCTGGATGTAACGTGACCGTTTCCCCGTGTGTGGTATCCTGGTACTTAACCTCACCAACGTTTCCCCGTGAATACGAACCTTGTTGTCTCGCTGAGATATAAACAAAGTTGGAGCTCGCCATGGCGATGATGCAGAAGCCGAACTGTCTGGTGCGAGCGGACATGGAACACCACCCTGTACCAGAGTCCTACCTGATCGTCCGCAGCAAGGCCATGCACCGCAGGGTCATTTTAAACGTGGGCGGCATCAGGCACGAGATCTTGTGGAAGACTCTAGACAGAATCCCCCGGTCCCGGCTGGGCCGCCTGTGGGAAGCCAACACCCACGAGCAACTGTTAAAGATTTGCGATGAGTACAGTCTGACAGAGAACGAGTACTTCTTCGATCGGCATCCGTCTGCCTTCGCATCGGTCCTGAACTTCTACCGCACCGGCAAGCTCCACATGATGGAAGAGATGTGCCCCATCTCCTTCAGCTTAGAGCTGGACTACTGGGGTATCGATGAGCTGTATCTGGAGTCGTGTTGCCAACAGCGGTACCACGCCAAGAAGGACCAGATGCTAGAGGAGTCACGGAGGGAAGCCGAGCAGTTACGGGAGAGGTCCGGAGAGGACTTCGGCAACGTCTGTTGCGCCGAGAAAAGAAAGAAACTTTGGGACTTACTGGAGAACCCAAACTCATCCATGGCTGCGAAGGTAAGACGTGATCTTGTACATCTACTTCTACAAATTATACAGGTTTTATTTGCTTCGCATGGGACAAGAGATGTACCTCAACGTGTTCAATAAATGCAACACAACAAGAACAGCTCAGGAGCTTGTCTCATGAAAAGGGCAACGGAGAGAAGATGCAACAAGCATGCAAAATACGTCCCAATAGTACAGCACGACCTGTCACGGAAACACCAGACGGAAAACAACAACAAACGTTTGAGTTTTGCAAAAAAACCCATCAATGCTACAGAATATAATTCAAAAACATAATTTTTCCCAGCCAATAAGATTATTTTCTATCCGATTATAGATATCAGTGATTTACCTTCCATGAAAAGCGTTTGATATACTAATACATGTAGTATACTGAATAGCTTATAGCTAAGTGAGTACCAATCCATCTGAAACCTCCTACACATTTAAAACGTTTTCAGCTCCCCATGGCTATGTCAGCAGACCAGCATTTCCTAATAAGTGATGAATATTGATTTTCTTCCCAGCTGGTACCCACCGGTATCCGTTTAACCTGCTAGGAAAAAACATTCCTAGTGAAGAACTGTATCAAAGCTGATTTATTGTTGGTTTGCTGAATACACGTCACATAAATCACGGTATAGTCTTCAATCTGGAATGTTAGTCTGTCAAGGTGGTCACATTTAGAAGCGAACAATTTAAATTAAAAAAATCATATTCATATTCAGGATAAATTGTATCAGAAATCTCTCAAATATTTTCTAAACTAAAATAATCTAGAGAAAACTAAAAATTCATCTGCAAGAACTCGGAACAGCTCTTCACTGTTTCCAAAGACGAAAAACCCTACATTAGTAACGTAGATATAGAGCCTTGGTATAGACCAGCAACATAGTGTAATCGTCAGTGTTTGTCTCATATGTATGCTCACTTACTTTGTGTATGTATATTACCACTTGTTCACTTGGGATTAGTCCAGGGGCACGAGTTTAAAATAAACTATAATTGTTATTTAAGACCTGTCCCTATGAAAACTATCAAATTTTCGTTGGACCACTCAAAGGTATATAGCAGAGTGTATGGTATCCAGAAAAATCATGAGCACCCCCCCACACACACACACACGCGTACCTGTAGCTTCACCTTGTTCAATATGCTGAAATGTTGCTATCAAGTTCTGACAAAGGACAATAATTGTGTGGGAGAATGTTCTTTCATCACAATAATGCGTTTTATATCTCTGCATAATATGATTCTCAGATCTAAAATGTCAAGACGACACAAACCATGTGAGGATTTATTAGCACCATAACTATCTTAACAACCAACTATAAGAAACATAAAAACCTCTATAGCAGTAGTGCATGTCGCAAAACACGCTTATACCATCATCCCTACTTTTTTTTCAAAATAGAATAATACAAAACACTAGATGATGACCAATCTCTACAGGTATGCAACATTATGATCAATAGAGAAATGAATACTGTATAAAGATGAACTTGTGCTGAAGTGACAGGAGACAATACAAATATTACATGTTACAGTACAGTAACATTACTTTGTCATCAATATTAAAGCTGAGTTGTTGGCGAGGTTCACGGGAATTATATACGTGTTGCTTTAATATGTTCTTCATATCTTTTAAGTATATGTATATAGTAGGTGGCAACATTACAACCGTGATAGTCCAGATACAGTGCGACTGAAGATAATAATAATCCTGATGTAAGGAGAACTGCGCATGCTAATGTATTTTGCACGCAGAGCATTTCAGTATTCATGAGGCCTTGCTTGTTGACATTTTCACCCCGAGAACCAATTTATTTCTCTTTATTCCGTCTAGATGCGCACCACGCAATCATTTTTCTGGCTGCTAGGAACATTTAGTCTTTATTCATGGCTGGCCCCCTGTACAGCGAAGAGAAATGTCAAAACCCTGTTACGAAATTCCACAGTGAGTTCATAAATTGAGACACCCCTGGGCATCCAGGGACAAACATGACGCATATTCGTTCATACGGACAATGGCTTATCCCTGGAGATCCCATGTACTCAGTACTATAAATAGCCAATTCGGTATACTGGGATCAAGTTGGGATTGTGGAAGTCGTGTATGATGAAAATTGATTTTGTTGGGTAGGAATGGATGACACGATGTGCTTTGGAATATCAATATATATATAAGTCAATCATAGCTGTCTCACATGGTGTCATTGATGACATTAAACTGTTCAAGATATAGCTCATACATTTGTTCATGAAATCCTGGATTATACGACCTTTCAAGCGTCTATACTTCTCTGTGCGATTCCGTCTACCAAGTACAGATATATACATATGCAGGATTTATGATGGTGCTGAGTGCGTTTGCATGTTTGACAAGGAGCTGTTCGGCGTAGGTAATCCTAACTCTCCGCAGGCAACTAATTGGAATAAGTTATGCTGCTTAAATTCAATAGCAATCCCGACAGAGGCCCTGAGCTTTACCGTGCATGGCATCGCCCTCCCCCTATCCTGGTTCATCTAACTGATGAGGTCTGCCGTACTGCCTGTCTGAGAGACAATACACAATGTCTACCATCAGCATTAACGTCCTGTACTCCATGCAATACATCATTGGATATCTACGTCCCTATGGAAAAAAAGATACAATATAGGACACGTACATGTATGTATATACTGTCATAATCAATAGCGCGTCTTCAACTGTCAACAGGCCGGCATGGCGCCAGGTTCTGTCAGATGGGACGCCATGTTTGCTTTCCTTTGTTTGAATGGTAACATGAAACTGACCGAAATGACGTACATTGTCTGGTTGCCAACCATAAGATCAAAATGGACTCTCCACAGCGGCATGCATGTTTGTGAATAATGCCACCTGCATGTACTAAGTCGTGAAATGAATTTGTCCAAGCCAGGCCTAGACAGCTGCTAGCCGAAATGGCCAAATACACGGGTTGTGCTCGCCGTGCTCATTCTGGACGATTCCAGACGGGATAACACCCATCTACAGCACTGGGGTAATCCCAAGCAATCCAACGTGCAGCAAACGAGATGGTTAGGAGGAATTGGTAGCCCGGATATTGGTGTTACTGGGAAAAGCCAACTCCCAAATTGCAGATGCTCTGGCGCGTGTTAGTGCTTTATTGCAGGGCGGTAATTCATCGGCCTGCAATTTTCCTTTTCGGCAGGAGCGATTGCCCCTAAACATGTGCTTTGCTAGGACCCTTTCAGCCACTTACTCTTTAGATAGACCTGTTGTGAACAACACTTGGTTAAGAATTAACGAGGAAATTCAATGCTTTATTTCAAGAGAAACACATCGTAACAACGCGGTCATATCCACCGTAGGTCATCGTATGATTTTTATGTAGAATTTGCAAGCATAATCAACGTTAACCATTGACAAGGATCTAGGACAGATATTGCCGTAACAAGACAGCTGATTTTTGTACGACATATTCACGACTACTGAAATAATGCATAAAGTTTGAAATTGTACGACGATCGTATGATAAATGTGACCTGACCCTTACACGGAACTCCGTGCCATTAATGGAGAAAAATTAGCTATAAAACACAGTGCCATACTGCAGACATAGACGTCATCTCGCAGTAGGAAACAAGATAAGGCTGAACAGGCTTAATCTTATGGATGAGAAACTCGGCCATGAAATTTTGGATGGTGAAGCCTAAGTGTGCACACACATCTACTGAGCAAACGTCGCGTGTGTACAGAGCGTGCGACGGGCGCTGCGCAAACAAACCTACAACTGTGTAAACTGTCACTGTACGTTAACGTCGTCATGTACGTCACTCCGGACTTATTTGGATCACGACCTTCCATATGGCGGCTGTAATAAGCATCGCCAGGCCTTACTGTTTAAAACCTAGAGTTGTAAAGGAGCCATGATGTCTTCCGTTTTCAATATACCATGTACAGTGTATTCTTACTCCTAGGACAAGTACACACGTACAAGAGATAAGTGTTTTATTGAATTTAGACAAAAGCAGTTAATATATATATAGCGAATGCTAACTAGGTGTATGTAAAGGATACTGTAAGGAGTAGGAATTATCATCTTGACGTTGAATAGTTCATATATCGGTTGCATCATGGTTGCGCGTTTGTAAGTCATTAGCTTTAATTTCTTGCGTTGTGAGGATTTGAAGAACAGAAGACATGTCTAATCATTTAGACCAATGCCACGCACATATTTCACTTACCCCTACACTACCACACTACCTCCCCAGTTAGAGAACCGCTCAATCCACAGTGATCCACGCTATGAGGACGGCGAAGCAATGTGCTTTACTGTCTAAAGGCCAATTCGGCTGCACAAAACTCATTAGTCGGTCCTTTCCCGTCTTTTATCGACCGCATTACGGCGCTTTACGCGGAACGAAATATTTCATCACAACCGTGAGGATGGAACAAGGTGAAGGTGAAGAATGGGCACTGAACGAAATCTTTAAACACCCCTTAAAGCATACGTTAAGGAACATGCGAGCGAAGAAATACGTAATGGTGTGCTTAAAGAATATATTTTGTGCATTGAGGGTCCTGTTCGTTATATAACCGGAAACATGTCCTCCGACGTCTTCTACGAATAAAACCGGAAAGAAATGTAAACGTTCGAGGCCCGCGTTTAACAAGAACGTGATTTTTCGCGATGCCTATTTGTTGTTAGACAGGAAAACAGACGTAGTCCCGAAAAAAAGTAATCAAAAGGGAACACGAGAAAACTGAAATTACACATTTTTAGCCAACATGCCTCCCTTAGCGCATTTGCTTCCACGCGCGCACTGAATTGATGTATTTTCCTATATTGGCTTTATACACGTACGTGGAGAGCTTCATCCTGTTTCTGTCGCCCTTTTGATACAGCTCTTAAGCCTACCCATACCTGGAGCAATCCATTTCACCGTCTCAACAGGGGATCTGGGAAAACATGTGACAAAATTTCCATAACATCTTGTAATTCATTTTCTACAATATCAACAAG